TTTCACACTCATTTTATAACAAAGAAAACGGAGGCACAGAGGAGCTAGTCATACAGTCAAAGATGTCAGATAAACCCAAATTGAGAGATATTTCATAAAATAACTGGTCTATACCCTTCAAAAATGTCAGTGTCTTGAAGCACAAAGGCTCAGGAATTCTTCCAGATTTACGTAAATTAAACTTGACAACGGAATGCAATACAAGATCCAGAATTTTATCTTGCCATAGAAGATATTATTTGGGAGCATCGGTGAAATCAGAATGGAATCTATAGATTAGATAATGGTATTATGTCAGTGATAATTTCCTGGCTTTGATAACTGTACTGTGCTCCCTCCTGTGAGAGAATATCCTTGCTTTGGGGAAATAATACCAATGTATTAAAGGGCATAGGGGCTTCATCTCTAAACCAGTTCTCAAATGAGTCAGGAAAAATATTATAGATAGATGATAAATGATAGATAGATAGATAGATAGATAGATAGATAGATAGATAGATAGATAGATGATAGATAGATAGATAGATGATAGATGATAGATAGATAGATAGATAGATAGATAGATAGATAGATAGATGATAGATAGATAGATAGAAAGTAAATATGGTAAAATGTTTGTATTTAGGGAATCTGGATGAAGGATATACAGGAATTCTTTCTAGCAACTTTTCTGAAAGTTTGAGGTTATGTCAAGATAAAAAGAAAAGAAAGCAAGTGGCCGAGCAGGGGAGGCAGGTGACCTGGAGGGCATGTTAATGATGCTGCCAGTTCCTGTTCGTTGGCCCCTCTGAACGCTGGGCTCTGTACTGTGGCTTCACGTGCGTAACCTTGTTCCATCCTCACAGAGACTATTGCCCCCATTTCACAGATGCTAGTCAGAAAGGTGGTAGGATTTGCTCCAGGCCCTCCACTGCTTGGGACAGTTCCCAGACTGGAAAGTAGACTCTGTGCGTTCAAAGTCTGTGCTCTCCACCTCAGTGCTGCTGTTGACTCTGACCTGTGGGGGAGAGTGGGATGGGATGGCAGACAAGGCATTTCTTCCTGGAGCAGCAGTGGAGTGAGGGCCCCAGGACAGAAGCAAACAAGGTCCATTTGCAGGATGGAGAGGGATGTTATTCCAGGATTCTGCAGGGAGCAGATCCGACATTGCCCAGCAGGACAGGCCTCAAATGCCAGGTGGGGTTATCAGGGGTGACCACAGTGGCTGTAGGCAGAGGAGCCACAGGGCAGGTCCAGAGTGACCTGGGACTGGGTGAAGTAGGCATTCTGGGTAGGATAGGCCTTGGAGGAACTTGCTGGGAGGGGGCAGGAGTGCTCCACAGCCAGGCTCAGCCTCCTATCCAAGCTGGAGGCATCAGTGGGATCAGGAGCCAACGGGCTTGGCAGTTTGGAGAAATCCACCTGCCAGATCTAAAAGGCAGCCGGGCCTGGGATATAGGTGGGCAGGAATTGCTGAGGACTTGGGTCTGGCTGGCAAACCACCTGGGGAGTCCTTGTGAAGAGGAAGGTTTCTCTTCTGCTTAGAGGGAGGGTGCAGGCAGAGCTGAATGACCTCTGGCAGTCCCTCCCGATCACCTGGACTATCTGGCTTCTTCTCAGATTAAAGAGCTGAGGGTGCCTGGCAGCTGGATGAGTCAGACTGGGAGGCTGCCTCCTTCCACCAGCAGCCCGCCAGGGTAGGGGCAGGGTGTGGGACATCTCCTCACGGATGTCCCTTCCACACCCTGGGATTTAAGGGGAGCGCATGGGCTGAGTGAACGGATGTACTTCCCCAGGTCCCCTGTGTGTGAGCGTATGCCGGCGTGTGCGGGCAGGCACAAACATCATCCATTGTAAAATATCAGTGTTTTCATGGGTGAGTAGTAATTACTGGGTAATGCTTTAAAACCTTTCCTGAAGGAGCACAAACCTGTTTTTTTCTAAAGTCAGGAGTACATTAAAAGGATTACCATGTAGATTTGATTTTTAGATAACACTAAAATGGATCCCAAATGGACTTCAGCAAAGGGATGCTATCTCCTTAATGGAAAGTGCATGGCCCGAGGCTCAGCTCCCAGAGCCAGGAAAGGAGGGAGGGGGGGAAGAGGTGTCTGCAGGGCCGACTGGCAGGCAGAGTGGGGGCTGGGGAGGCAGGGTGGGAGGGAGAGCCTGGACCCTCTGGGGAGCAGGAACCTATAGGTGCCCCCTTAGAGCCTCCTTACCTTTTCAGGAGTGTTTCCAAGTCCCCTGGACTAACCCAGTAAGAGAAAACAGTGTGGGGTCTCCATAAAGAAGGGAGGGGTCAGTCAGACTTCTCCCAAGACCCCAGTCTTTCTAAACAGAGAAAGCTCAAGGTCTCCAGATGCTCTGTCACCTCCTCTGCCAGGCTGGCCCTGCTGTTCCGTGTCTCAGTGGGCTTCTGGAGGAAGTCACATGGCTTCTTACGAGTTCTCCAGGACCCAGGAAACAAAGTTCAGCACCCTAGAGCAGGGTTCCCAAGCCTTACCAAGAACCTGCTGTGTGCCAGGCCCAGCCTGGGCACAGGTAGGAGGGGGGAACCTGGGGAAGCTTGTAGCTTTGCTCCTCCTGGCCTCCCTGGGTGGAACCACCAGCTGGTACCATCGTTCATAGCCCTGCAGGCTCAGTGGCCAGGCAGTCTGTCCAGGATCCAGGCCAGAGGGCGATGAAGGGGGCAGATGCTCCTAGTGCTGAGATCCTCCATCATTTTGGGGTATAACTTAGTGGGCCAGGGGTATCCCCTGAGATGGATGAATATTTCAGCCACTCATCCCCTCCCACCACCTACCACTGAGAGCACAACTGAAGAGCCCTGGCTACTGGGGAGGGTGCAGCCCTGCTGCCAGCCCAGGTGAGCAAGGGGAAATCAGCCTTGGGGTCTATACTAGAGGCCTGAACTGAGATCTTCCAAATTGGTAGTTATGCTGGCTGGGTGCTCCCTCCACAGGCCCCAGAGAAAAATAATCCTACCCCGGGACACCCCACACCTTCCTACATCCAGCTCTCTCAACCCCTCCCCCATCTGGCCACACCTGGTTCCTCCCTGTAGGCCTTGAAAGGTCTTAAAAGGAGCCCTTCAGGCCCCCCTTAGTTCTCAGGACTGCCTGGTCCCCAGCTGGCCTCCATGAGCTCCTCAGAGCTATGACCAAGCTGAACCCTCTCAGAAGAGACAGAGGCAGCCTGGGGACAGAGTCATCCTGAGCCCCATCATGCTCTCAGACCAATTAACCTTTAGCGCTGCATTAAGGAAATTAGGCAGCAAACTTCCCAGCTAACAGACAGCCCTGCAGGGACTGGAGGAGGGAGGAAGGAGAGTCCACAGTAGCCTATGATAGCTCTGCCCTGCCCTTACCTGTCCTGTTGCTCCTGGGCTTGGGAGGGCCCCCGGGCCTAAGGGCCACCCCCTCTCCTAGAGGAACCTGAGGAGGCAATGAAGCTGAGAAAGCACAGGGGGAGCAAAGGGCCAACTTAATTGGTGGCCTACACTAGCCCCTTGGACTATCTGAGCCTCAGTTTCCCCATCTCTAGAATGAGACCATTTGCCTAGAAGAACTCTGAAGGCCCATCTCACCTGATATCTGTGGATTTTGAGACTGAGACCCCTTGGAGGCCATGCTTCTCCTCTAATGCCTGAGGAAGGGTCACACCAAGGAAGCAGCTCAGACCCTGGGCTGGGGACAGTCGGGGAGTGGGTAGAAGAGGGATGCCAGGTGATGGGTGCTGAATCCGGAGCCCTGGAGAGTGCAGGGATCCCTTGGAGAGGATGGGGCCAAGAGGAGGGCAGAGTTCAGGAGCTGGTTGGAAAGCCAGGGAGGCAAGAAGGGGTAAGCTATTCCCTCCAGAGTCAACCCTTCCATCCACTTGAGCCTTGGTCAGGAAAGGAGCACCCCCATCCCCACCACCTTCATGAGATGCTTACAGGCACCTCCAGGCTGGAGCTCTGAGACTACCTGCACTCCCCACCAAGCCTAGTCTTTACCACACTCAAGCCTCAGGGTTCCACGTGGATGTCCAAGCTCCCAGATGACACCCGACATCTGTCCCCATCTCCTCCTCAACCCTTCCTCCCTGTGGTCACTCCTTGTGCCTGTGTGCACGGGGTGTGAGTGAGGCGTACCTTGCCTGCTGGGAGGTCTGCCCCTTCCTCTGGTGAATGCCAGGCTTAGATCCCAGCCCCTCATACTGGGCATTTTCTTGTATGTTGAGCAGCGCTGTGGGCCCTGAGAGGGGGCAAGTGGCTCAGAGATTCTTATCCTTGTGGGAAGACTGAGGGTCCAGAGGCTGGGAACCTCCCCTCCTCAGGCCAGGTCAGGGAGGAGTCTGACTAGCTGCAGTCATTGCTGAGGAGAGCAACTAGGCTAGGCCCAGCCGCCTCCAGCACACACCTGCCACGAGCTGCAGAGCTCCTGATCCCTCCTGGGGCTGCCACAAGGGCATCTTATTTTCTTGACACCTCCATGGTTCTACATGAATAAACCAAGAAGCTGTAGCCTGACTTTTGGGGTTAAAATGGATAAATGGACAAGCTGTGTGAGAAGTCTTGAGGAGGCAAAAAGAACTGGGAGTTCTAGTGGACCCCATACCATTGGGAGATTTCATCCTTAGGGTTGCAGGAGAGGCCAATGGGATGGTGGCTGCGTGAGGAGGGCTTCAGGCCTCCTGTAGATCAGGCTGCAGAGGGGCACTGGTTGCATGGGGTGGAACAACTCAGGGGGACAGACCTTGGGGCCATGTGTGTGCCCTGCAGCAGAGCAGACGCGGGGCTCCCCGTGTTGCCTGGAGCTTCCAGACGGACCGTCCCAGGGGAGGGGAGCGGGCTGTGTCATGCAGCCAAAGGGCAGGACCCAGGGCCAGGGAGGAGAGTGCTGGGAGAAAGTGAGGGCTCCTTGGAACCCCAATCTTGGAGGGGGCACAGCAGCGAGAAGCAGCGGGCTCCCGTTCTCAGAGGGCACAGAGCCTCAGCTCCCCCCCAGTCCATCTGTCTCTTGTCTGTCCGTTGGCAGGCGTGCCGATGCTGTCCGTCCAGCCCAAAGGGAAGCAGAAGGGCTGTGCCGGCTGCAACCGCAAGATCAAGGACCGCTACCTGTTGAAGGCTCTGGACAAGTACTGGCACGAGGACTGCCTCAAGTGCGCCTGCTGCGACTGCCGCCTGGGCGAGGTGGGCTCCACCCTCTACACCAAGGCCAACCTCATCCTGTGCCGCAGAGACTACCTGAGGTGGGCCACCTCCCACCGCTTGGTCCTTCTCAGAGAGCCCGGGTCCTCCAGGGCCCAGCGTGGCCCTGCCCGGGCTGTAGACCCAGGAACCAGAGCGCACAGCCCACGTGCGTGCTCATCTGCGACTGTCCTGCCCCTGCCCTTGCCCTGCTCCCCCAAACGCTGCAGACCCCCCCAGGGCAGGGCCGTGCCTTTAACTCGTGGGACCCAGTGGCCAGCACAAGTTCCGGGTAGGCATCTGTAACCATGGGCACCTGAGATGTGCTTCCCAAGGGCATCAACTTATCCCTGCCACTGCCCTTGTCAGGTGCTTCTGACCCACCCTGTCCCTGCATCTGGGAGGGAATGCCTCAGAGGGGCTTCCAGGAGCAGGTAGGAAAGCTCTGACTGCTCTGGGCCCTCCTTCCCACCTCTCCCCAGTGCCTCTCCCCCACCTTTCCTGAAGGGCCCTGGGATTAGATGGCCCAGATGCCTGGGGAGCTTGGCAGGTAGCCAGACCCTGGGAGAAGGACCGCAGAGGTCAAAACTGAAAGACCTGGGTTTGAATGAACTCTGCGCCTCGGTTTCCCCCCTCTGTGAAGTGGAAAGAATAACTCTTCCCGCTTTGCATTCATCAGAACTCTAACCCACCCTCCCCCGCAGCCTGGGTCCTGTTTCCCAGGGACTGCCTCCCCCAATTAACCCTCCCTTAGGCCATCTATGACATCAGCAAGGCTGGAAGGAGGCCACAGAGCAAGCGCCTTGGCTGAGACCCAGCACCTGCATTTGGCTCTCACACGGGCTGCTGGGAGGTGGCTGGGCCTTGTGGGGAAGAAAGGCCCATCTCATTAATTAATAGGTCGGGGCAAGGGATTCTTGGGGCTCCCTCTGCTCAGGTGTGGGTATGTTGCGGGATAGGCTTATCAGTGGAGGCTCCCCCTGCTTCCCTGGAGAGCCTAAGGTTTACCTGCCTGTACCTTCTCTTTCAACCTCTGCCTTTTGCAGGAGTTTGTTTTTGTTTTTGTTTTTAAGTGGTGCAAAACCAGCCTGTGACTCAGTGCTCCTGGCTGGGGCTGGAAGAGAGGCTGAGGCCAGGAGGGAGGGGTATAGGAAGGGATGCTCCTGGGACTCACCCCTCAATTACCTGGAAAGGGTGACCAAGTCTGGAGGTTTAGGGCATCCCCCGGGGGTTGGACCTACCAGGTTGAGAGGAGGGGGCAAACTGTCTGATGAGTCCACAGGACCTGGAGAGGGTGGCCCATAGTGCAGGTTGGGCTTGTCGGCAGAGTTGAAGCACCCACAAGCCTTCTGGGCCCTGCCAGCAACTGGAGCCTGAGGTATTTTCCTGGGTTCTGGCAGAGGCCAAGGGATGACTCTGGGGCCAGGTAGGCCAGTGGGCCAGAATGGGGGTGCAGCTTCTTTGAGCTTTTTAGCCCCAGAACATGGCTCTCCTGAGCCTGCCCCCTCTGCAGCCTGCTCATGGGACTGGTGGCAAGAATGGCCCGTCTTGGCAGGCAGATGCTGTGGCCCAGCCTTTGTCTGCCTTAATCTGAGCCACCACGCAGCTTGGACTGATGAATAATGGAGCCTAACTAGTCTACCGACGCCTGAGCTTGAGCTGGACAAATCAGGGATTAGAGGGGCCTCCCGCCTGCCTCTCAGCCCTCTTGCCTCACTTGGGGCTTTCTCTGCCAGTGTGCAGAAAAGAAGCTGAGAGCAGCCTGGCTGGCTCAGACCATTGAAACATCCAGCCAAGGATTAGCCTGCACGGGAGGCTGTCAGCTCCCTCTCCCTAGAACTTTGCAACCGGCAGCTAAGAGAAGGGTTGTCTGCCCCAAAGAGGCACTGTGCCAGGAGTCCTTCGAACTTCTTTTTGACATCAATCCTGTTGTAGAAACATCTTTGAATAGGATCACCTAGTCCAGCATTCCATTTTAAAGAAGGATGAACTGAGGTGCACAGAAAAGAAAATAGGACTTAGACAAGTCACACAGTTGAGTTGATAGCTGAAAAAGACCTCCTCGTGGGGTTGTTGTCGAGATTAAATGAGCTGATCTTTGTAAAGCCCTTAGAACAGTGCCTGGTACATAATAAACACTATATAGATGTTTACTACATGAGTTGTGACTGAGCATTTATAGAAGTTCTCACAACAAGCCTGTGAAGGTTGTATCTCAGTCACTATTTTACAGTTGAAATAAATGAGGCTCAGAGAGACTTAGTGACTTGCCTGAGGACACACAGCCTATGATTTACCAACTACCTCTAAATTCTAGCTTGTATGAATCTGAAGTCCTGCTCAAGGTCCAGCCCATTACTGTGATGGCACAAAATTTACAGAGATAGGTGGGGCCACGGGTGGAGGCAACTGCCCTGGTTAGCTCCTGAGCACTCTGCACCCTTCCCCCTGCAGGCTCTTTGGCACCACAGGAAACTGCGCTGCCTGCAGCAAGCTGATCCCAGCCTTCGAGATGGTGATGCGGGCCCGGGACAATGTGTATCACCTTGACTGCTTCGCCTGCCAGCTCTGCAACCAGAGGTGAGTGCTAGACTGGGTGAAGATCCAACATGCTCACCAGACCCCAGCCAATTCCTCCTGAAACAGAAGCTGTGGAGGCCTGCATGCAGTTGTGCGCTCTGTGTGTGCATGTGGCTGCATGTGCACGCTGTCCTGAGTACACGTGTACATATGAGTGTTTCATGTATGCCTAAGACCTGTAGTTAAATGTGCATGCTCCAACACTGTGTGTACATATTTGTGGCACATTTCTGCATGAACGTAATGGATGGGAGTATGTGTGTGCTTATTGTGTATGCACAGTGTGTCATGTGCATGTGTGTTTTTAAATGTCCACATCCATATGGGCATGTGCACCTGATGGAATATGCACATGCTTCTAGGTGTTCATATACAAATGGAGGTATGTGTGTCCTCTGTGTGCAAGATGAGTGGGCATGTGCAGAAAAAGACCTGTTTTAAATGTGCATGTAAAAGGGTTCTGTGCACATGCCCTGTGCCCTTGTGTGTGTGCCATGTGCATGTCTGTTCTAGTGAGACTGGGTTCCTAGCCTGGAGGGCGAAATCCCTTCAGGGAACAGCCCCTCATCGCTGACCCCTCTCCTGTGATTCTGGTTCCAGCCCAGCCTCCTTTCTGGTCTTTGGCCCCTGCTCAGTGCCCCAGCCTGTGGGAGGCCCTTTTCTCAGGAGCCCCCAGGACAAGAAGGAGCTTATACAAGTATTCACAGAGGACAGGTCCAGAGGGACTGCAGGCCACACTGGTCTGGCTGGGGCTCCGGCCAGATCCACTGCTGGGAGGGCTCAGTGAAGTTGCAGCGCCACCTGGTGGTTGGACTGGGATCTGCTGGGACCAGGCCTGTGACCCAGGGGTCCCACTAAAGGCTCAGCCACCCTGGGGACATCTTTGAGGAAAGGGCTGAATCCTCCAGTACTTAAGGAAGACCGGATGAAGGGAGGGGCAAAGCAGAGTCTTCTCTGGGTAGGAGGGAAGAGGGTGGGACAGGATCATTTCCTTCTGGAAGGATGCTCCTGGAAACGCACAAGTTCTGTTTAGAGAAAGTGCCCTTCACTGCACCATCCTCTTAACTTGGTGAGGGGACAGAGGGATGGAAAAATCAACCATTTTATCCCTTCCTCCCTTCCACCTCTACCTCTCTCCTCTGGGCCTTTTCCTGTTTCTTTGTTCCTCTCTCTCTCTCTCCATCTCTGGGACAGGAATAGGCTGTTCCTACCCCTCCCATCTAACCCCACCCTCTATGGAGGATCTGACTATGGAAGACCTGTGGCCCAGGCTTGGGTCTCGGTCCTGTACCTCAGGCTGCAGGGCCTGGCAGAGGGTTGGGCTCTCCCAGGGATTTGGGGGAATCCCCTCTGGAAAGTTCAAGGAGCAAGCTCCCCAGGACCTCACGTCCCATGTGTCTCCCTCCCAGCCAGGCTGGGTCCTGTCTGGAGCCCCCGCCCTCTCGGGCCCTTCCATGTCTTCTTTCCTGCTTGGATTTTCCAGGTTTTGTGTGGGAGACAAATTCTTCCTGAAGAACAACATGATCTTGTGTCAGATGGACTATGAGGAGGGGCAGCTCAACGGCACCTTTGACGCACAGGTTCAGTAGTGCCCGGCGCCTGGCCCCCGCCCGCCTGCCCACCCGCCTGGCTGGCCGCCACGCTCCCACCGAGTAGAACTCCGTCGGTCGGCCCTCCCTCCGCCTCTGCCCGTCTGTGTGTGACCCCTCCTGGGGCCAGGCTGGGCCTGTACAGTCTGTCTTCTGTATATAAATGGGAACATTTATTTTATGAGAAATGTAATGCGATTTTATTACTGGCGTGGATTAAACTTATGAATGTTTCCGGGGAGGTTACTCTGCGTTGATCACATGACTGACACAGATCTGGGTTCCCTCCCTGCTGCTTGGGGGTGGGCGGCCCCCCCTTGGCCCTTGGGGGTGGAGGGACACAGAGCAAGGCATGGTGCTCTCCGGTGGGTGTTGGGGGAAGAAGCTGGAGGGAAGGGGATAGCACCAAGTACCCCACAGCCAGAGGTGGGAATTGGGGTGCCCTTCCCTTTCCCTGGCTGAGCATATACCCCGATTCTGAGCAGGCCCCCAAGATGACGAGAGACAAGATGAAACCCTTTCTTCCCTGGGTTCCTCTTTTACTTCCATCCACTGAGACCCCCTCTGTCTGCCCAGACAGTAACCTAGCTCTGACCTCCTCCACAAAGGACCCCAAATCCTGAGCCCCCTGCCATAGGAGCACTATCCTAAAATCCCTCTTTGCTCTTGGGGTGATGGGCAGCATTTGCCGTCTCCTCCCTGCAGCTCGGGCCTGACATGGGGCCCAGCTTTCTGCTTTTCTGGGTGGCTGAGAACAACCCTGTTGCCCTGTAATAGCCCACGCAGCTGGAGGCCTTCGTTCATTCAGTCGGCAAACCTTAATCCACTCTGTCTCAGACCCGAGAATGAATCATGAATCGGACACAGTCTGTGCCCTTGAAGAGGAGAGAGAAAGCCAGGAAAACAAACAGAGCGCGTCACGGTGAGGATGAACACTGCAGGGAGACAGGGACAGGCCAGCTCCCTACGGCAGACACAGGACCACTGGTGATGGCTCCAGAGAGTCAGAGGCAGATCAGCCAGTGGACACACAGTCAGGTGCATGTGCTTGCAGGCAGGAGAGATGGACACACATGTAGGCGGGTGTGTAGGCAGAGATAGACAGGGACAGTCAGGCAAGCTGGCAGGCACTCAACTCAGGCCAGAAGATAGCCAGACAGGCAGACACCCAGGGCGTTTTCTGTCTACCTGCTGGGCCAGGCTCACCTAGGGCAACAGGCATGCTGTCTTATCCTGGCTGCAGCCACAGCACGGAGCACAGAGCCTAGAACTGAAAAGGTATTATGAAAAGGGGATTCCTTAGTCTAAAGCCTGGACAGGGAAGGTTGTATGGACAGGCTCCCCCCACCATCAGGCCATTTGCTTGTCATTACCCAGGGACTGTTTTTATCCTGGCCTCAGAACAGAGCCCAGGGCTGATGGAGGCAGCCCACTGCTTCAAGCTCTTCCTGAGGACAGCTGGGGTCTAATGGGCACTTGTCTGTAAGTTGTACTTCTGTGGTCTGTGGTCTCCTCCACAGGAAGGGATTGCTAGGGCCAAGGATTTGGGGGTAGGAGTTGTCAGCTTTGGGGCTCCCCCCTCCTGCGAAGGAACTGTATCCATATGTGTAAGAGACGAGAGGCAGAGAGACTGTCAGCCTGGCTGCTGTGGCTATTTCTGTGCAACATGAGTCTGATGAAACTAGGGGGCTATCCGTATGAGATTGTGAATGAGTTTGAGGGCTGGAGTCCCTAATAAGGAATTTTTCTTGTAGAACATGAAAAGGCAAGTTATTTTCCTGGATCGTAGCAGAGCACCCAACACCAGACCCTCCCTGGGCCGTTAGGTCTCAGATGGCTGTGCCCACCCCAAGGTTCCCAACTACTAACTTGAGTTTGCTGCAGATAAAAAGTTGTAACACAAGTTAATTACATGGTTATCGAGAGATAACGGAGCCACTTGAATGCAGTTTCTGGGCAATTACAATTGTTTCCAACAGAGTTACCATATTGCAGCCATGAAATAACATGTCATTTTGTAGTAATTATGTAATTAACTTGTCTCACCACTCTAGGTTGCACAACAATTAATTCACTCACAATGAGATAGACTCAAAGTCAGGCAGCCAGGCTTTGAAAGCCCCCAAGAGCAGAACTGGCCTTTGAAAAGACCCCAGCCCCACACTTTCCACCCCAGACCTTGAAGGGAGCTTCCTCAGCTCAGCATGGCCGGGAACATGCCAGGTCCAGCACCATGGGCCCACTTAATGCTGTTTCACCACCCTCATCCAGAAAATGGGATGGTCTGTTTCCCAGGGCAGCCACAAGGCTGAGTCCTGCACTGTGATGTGCTGTGCTTACCATCCTGAGGCCCATCTTAGGTCCTAAGTAGAAGATCCTTCATCCAGGAAGCCTCATAGCAGCCCAGAGCTGTCCCCAAGAAGAGGACATACTTGCCTGTGCAAGTATGGAACCAGTGGGGAGGGGAGCAGAGTGGAGGCCAAGCTCTCTCTGTAGCAGGGGAACCGAGATAGGGTTGGAATGGTTACTGGAGGCCAGGGATTGTGCACTTGGAGAGGATTCGCAGCCCCCTGGGAGACCCAGGAAAAGCCTGACCTGCCCCCCAGACACTGCATAGGAGAAACTTGCTTGATTACGTATAGGGCACAAATGGTCCTGGCCTGGGCTATAGCCCATCACAGAGGGATTGGGGTCCAGGGGAGCAAGGGAGCACTGAACACGAACCATTATTAGAGTCTGCAACAGCTTTGTTCTTAGCCTGGGGCATGGGGGTGATGGGGATGTGGACAGGCCTTGGGCTGTAACCGTGCACAAGTGCCCTTTCCCCCAACCAGCCCATGGGACTGTCTCTCCCTCCTGCCTTCCTCGGTTGCCAGGTGTGAGAGATACCCTAACAAGGGGCCTGAGACCCATGGAATATGACACCTGCCTATGCCCCCCCTCCTTGGACTAAAGCTGGACCACACAGCCTGTGTTTGGAAAGAAGTTTGATGCTAATCGTGACAATGCTGCAGGGCCCATTGTGAAATCTCACATGGGTCCTCTCTTCTCCTGGGCCCGGTCCCAGAAACCACACCGTACATCTTGAGACACACAGGGGCCATGGGCAGAATCCACATGAAATTCTAGCCTGGGAAATCTCACCTCTACATGGAGACAATTGCTCCCTCTTAAAGCTGTCAGAGTCACTATGGTCAGACTCACTAATCTGGTGTCAAGTGACACCTAGCACCACCCATCTGGGAATGCTGCCACCAAGTGGGTAGGTTCAGGAAAGGTGCTTTGTGGCATCACCCTTGGTGAAAATTCCTGTGAGAGGATGCTGGCCGTCTATGAGTTGATATTTAGCTATATATTACCTCTGAAACTATAATTGCTTAAAAATGAATGAGCAAAGGCAGGCTGATATGAAGATGAGTTGGTCCGGGTTAAAAACAACAACAATAAAAAAAACTAGGTCAAGCCTCGTTCATCTTGAAACAATCAGATAAACCANTAAAAAAAAACTAGGTCAAGCCTCGTTCATCTTGAAACAATCAGATAAACCAAACACATGTGCACACGCATACACACTCTCGTGTGCAGCTAAAACCCAGAAAGGAGTTCATCAGAACCTCATGAGTATGCCTCAGCTCTGCACCTGGGCCCTGGGCAGACTTTCATACCACCTTACCCCAGCAACGGTGGGAGCGTCCTGTCCGCCCCAGACATGAGGCTGAGGGTGTCCCAGATCCCTCAGACTCTTGGGACCTCCAAGGCAGACTGTTCTTGAGCTCCCTCCAGTTGGTGCCATTTTTGTCACCCAGCAACAGCCCCTCCTACACTGAGTCTGCCCCATCTCAGCACCTCCCTGCCCCTGCTGACATGTTGACTCCCCCCCAGGCCCCAGTGGTCTCCAACACTCACCACTCCCCTCAACACTGGGTCCAGCGCTCACATCATAAGTTTCACATCAAACTTTTTCCACCCCGTGGTTTCTCCCTCTCACCACCTGCACCCTCTTCCTGGAGCAGGGAGCATCCTTGCTGGGATCCTTGTACCTGAGTTAGATCTCATGACCTTCTTTAGGGACTCAGGGGATCCATTATGGGTATGGGCAGAGATAAGGTATTTTACTATGAAACTGCCATGGGTGCTACCCAGGCCCTGATTCTCTGAGCCCAAGACACACAGCCCGGTCCCCAGACTATCCCACTGGCACTGGGTTTTGCACAGTGTATGGCCTTTGCAGGGAAACTGTGAGCCCTCAGGGGCTCAGAAGCCCTTTGGCTGCCTGTGGCACCAGGGTGGGGTCTGCAGTCCCTGGATCCCCTGCCTTCTCTAGGAGCACAACCAGAGAGGATGTGGTACAGGGGTTCCTCCCGGGGTCTGATTTATAGACCCTCACCTCCTGGATCTGCTCTTTGAGCAGAGTAGGGAGCCCCGCTGAGCCTGGGGTTTCCTACAGTTCTGCCAAGTATAGTTTTGTCTTCCAGAGTCTGAAGGTGCTAAGGGACTGAGGCAGTTTCTGGGCCAACCCCTTGTTCTAATGGGTCTTCCTGCAGCACCTGGAGAATATGAGGCTCTCCCCACAGGAGGTGCAAGGGCTCTTCAGAATGACCCCGTCTCCCCTCTGCCTTCCTCCCCATCTGCCAGCACAGATCAGGCATCAGAGGTAGCACACTTGCCTGAGATAGAGAGAGGCGAGAGAGAGTAAGAGAGAGGGGGAAGGAAGGGAGGCAAGGAGAGAGAGGAAATGGGGGAGGAGGAGCGGGGAGGGAGACAGACAGACAGACAGACAGATGGAAAGAGATGAGACAGTGGGCAGGAGAGGAGAGAAAGAGAGAGAAACGGGCAAAGGGTCTGGGAAGAATCTTTTAGCTGCCGGAAGGCGTGGAATAAGGGCAGCCATGGCAGCAAAGGGCGGTGTGGCACGGTGGTGGCATGTGGCCCAGGAGCCAGCTTACGTGGCTCAGATCACAGCTCCCCCACTTGGCAGCCGCACAGATGAGTGTCCTCGTCTTTACGAGGGGATGTCACCGTGCCGACTTCTCAGGGCCGCCCTGCACATCCGAGGAGTCATCGCGAGGACAGCCCGTTCACAGGTGCCCTGGCTCATGGTGAACACGGGACACGCAGTGGCTGCTGAACACTCACGTTACCCTCCCACGCTAGGCCTGCTGGGCCCGAGGCTGGGCCCCTCCCGCAGCAGCCTCATGCCTCCGCCCACAGCTGTGATCTTGTAAAGGGCATGGCACCCTGGTACC